CCCCCCCACAATCCTGCAGTTTTATTCTTTATTATCTGGGTGTCCAAAAATATTTTTTTAAAAAGTCTGCAGCTGAATCAAAATGCTGCTGCTAGAGYTCTAATACAAGTTAGAAGGAGGGATCATATTTCACCAGTTTTAGCTTCTCTTTATTAGTTCCCTGTCAAATTCAAAATATAATTTAAAATCTTAAAAATAGCCAAGCTCATAAATACTATAGTCAGGTTTAGGTTTCCTATGTTATTCCTTAGTTATGCTGCTATATGCTTTGACTGCTGGAGGACAAACTGACTACATTTCTTCACTTTGCTGCAGTTTTTACTCTCCCTAGTCTTCATGTTAGTATTTGTAATTATTTCTATCATTAACATGTGCTCTTCTTTGTCTTTCTCCCCATATAAACCACACCTGGACCAGTCATTCTGGGTTGGTCTGTGTCTCTTTCCTCAACCATTCGAGGCAGATGGGCGCCTATCCTGAGCCTGGTTCTGCTGCAGATTTCTCCCCGTWAAAAGGGAGTTTTTCCTTTCCACTGTCGCCTTCTACCCAATTGGAGATTTGACAGAAAAAAAAAAAAACTTTTACTAAATGCCATGTTTATAACGYGCATGCGTGTTTTGCCTGAAGTGACATTTGCTGTGACTTGGAGCTAAATAAATAAACAGAACTCGTCAGGACGTCCAGCATCCTGGTGGGGAAAAGAAGTCATGCAGTAAACAAACCCTTAAAAGTCCAGCTGCAGGCAAAGTTACACAACACTATTAATCACCTGTATTACAACTCGTGTTGCATTTGTGAAAGAAATGCAGCTCTGTGCAGCAGACAATGCATGATAAATCATCATGTGATTTAGTTCCACCTTAGTGGTCAAAAGTCTAGAAGAAGTTGGGTTTTTTTCCGGCAGAATTGAAACTGTCAACTCAACAAAGTGACAGCTGAGAGGATTTCAGAGGTTTTGTCAGAGTTGATGATGTGACAAAAACAGATGACTTCACTCATCTGCTGTAAAAACTTCACTTAAAAATACAACCGGAAGTAAACACTTTAAACCCCGCATCCGAGTAAAATAAGCAAATAAAGGCAATAAACAAAAGGCCGTTTTACCTTGTCAGGCTTTGGTTTGTTTTGAAGGAGATGCTCCAGGTACAGGTCAGAAAGGGCTGTCCGGACGCTGTTCAGCGGCTCTAATAGGACGGCTGTTTCGTTTTTATTGGATTTTAACGTCATCTTCTTCTCCTGTTAGAATAAACACACACACACAGTGAACCCGACTTGCCCCCGCTCAAGGTCCACAGCAGTTTTGATGAAACTGCTGATAAGACGTCCTGACGACGAGATAAGTCTCTGTCTGAGACAAAAGTCCAAGGTTTTGCTAACAACAGCGGGGCGTGTGGGGGGGAACACACCGCTGACAAAGCAAGTAAACACCAAAAGTGACGGACGGCTGCTTCGCCGAGGCGCCGGCTGCTGATGCGTTCAATTACAACCCGGAAGCTCGGAAAATCCTGTTATTGGGTCGTTTCTCCTGCTATGCTTTCAATAAAATATGGCATAATGTTAATTCAAGCTTCATGCGTTTCATATACTTACTTATATAGCTCCGAACGAGCGTTGACGTTTATAAAAACATTTATTTGCATGTTTAACTTAACTAAATAGCAGAAATCGCTAGATTCAAAGTTTGACGATAAGTAACAATTAAATAAAAGAGCTATAAAAGTCGTATACTTCTTCGTTAAACATTTTGGTGAGTTTATGAGGAAATAAATGAAGAGTTTCGGTCAAAGAGCCAACTTTAAAATGTGTGGTGAAATTTCCCATAGTTTTGAACGCATCATTACTGCAGCGTTTTCAAAGAGGGGTCTGCTTGAGGAAGCAAAACAACGCCGTCCTAAAGAACATGGTGATCCCATTGAGCACAGCCTGTCTGACTGCCTCAGTGAAACTTTAAAACATGATTACAACACACCTTAAGCTGCCTGCTGCACTCATACACGTTTTTTTTTTTTTTACAAAAAAAAAAATCAACACATAACATCTGGGCCCTCTTTTAAAATGTCCCTTCAGTGTGAGTATTTTTCTCTCTGTTAGCAAAATATCTCATGAACCACTCCATGGATTTTAATGAAACTTTCAGGAGATAATCACTGGATGAACCTCTGCAAATGTTTCTCTTTTGGAACTGGCCCGATTCATGGTGACCGCCACAGCCAGGTGTCCCTTGAAAACACATAAATGGCTTTAAATCTGTTAGTTTTACAAATATTCTGCTAACATTTGATGTGGTTGTAGCTGTGAGTCTCTTACAATACATACATTCAAACCTACTCACTGAGCATCATCTTTGCTTAAAACCATTATAATAAATTTTGGGAGTAAATCCTTTTCATTTGTTAGCAAAATACTTCCAAAATCACTGGACAGATTGAATCAAACTTGCAGAAAGTAATCGGATATAAATCTTTCACTGATTAACAAGTTATTCTAAATCAAGACGGCTGCCACAGCTAATCAACATTCGACAACACAAATGTGGCTACAACTAAGTCAGTTTTACAAATACTGAGCTAAAACATATAAAATAATTTGAGTGTGGTGTCTCACTATCACGTAATGTTTCAAATTAATTTCAAGGTTTGACCAAAACAATTAAAACGGTCATTTTTAATAAAAGTCTGATCTTATCTCTGGCATGTGTTGGAGGCTTATCCATATCACTACAAACAGAAAGTGTGTTTTTTGACAGCGAATGAGGAGTTCTCAGACAGCTGCAGAGATTTGACTGGATGCCATCAGGAGCAGGGCCCGATGAACTCTGACCCTGACATCAGAGGGAGCCACTGAACACTTCAGAGGTTGTATGCTGTTTTCATACACAAAACTCACCTTTTTAATTTATTATTTGGCTTTAATGTGCACATTTTTAAAAGTATTTTAAAGCCGATAAACCTAGTCTTTTTAGACTAAGTTTTACTGGGATGGATAGATCTGCTTTTTAAAAACCCGTTGATCAGTCTGTATTTATCTACATATAGAGCTGGACACACCATATCTAACCTTATATTTTCAAAATCATCATCTAAGAAACTTTAAAAGTATGTAGTTCATCAAAATGTGGTCATTTATCACCGGGCCTGGCAACTAGACAATTTTATTTGCAAAATTGCAGATTTGGAAACTCTTTTTTTTTTTATTGGTCAGTGGTTCCCAAACTTTTCATCTTCTGACTCACAAAATATCTGTTGCAGAGGCTTGTGATGTCAAATATAACTGGTCTGACTAAACTTCTAATAACCCTATACAAGCAAGGGCTTATTGACAATCCAAACAGCTTTTACAGCAACATATTTGAATTGTGTTTATTTTATGTATTTTCAGAATAGTTATAGTAAAATATTATATCGCCTATCCTTTTTATTTTTATTTTTTTACTTTTAATTTTATTTCTGGAGATTATGTGAGGACCCTTGATGCTTCAGGACTCAGATGGGCCATGATGATGTCGGCCTATATTTAAATGGGGCAGATTCCAAGATCCACAATTACGCTAAACATTATATAAAGGGATTTACAGGTGCTACCACAGCTCAATTTTAATTAGATTAAAAATGATTAGGATTATAAAGATTATTTCTGAGATTAAGATTGTAATTAAAATATATTTTTTCTGTTACAAAATGTAATTTAAAGGTACGTTGAGAAGATTATATGCTATTTTACTTTGCAGAATCGCTAAATGGTGTTTTTATGGGTTAATTTTTCATGCAAAAATGTACTTATTTTATTGTTAACAACAGTAAAATAAAGGTTTATCCAGCAAGCAAAGTTACCCTTTTGGTAACATTCGGGTACTGCTGCTGTAGTGAAGATTGCATTCTGCGCATGCGTCAACTCTGACGTCACGACGCTTCTCAAATTCTAGTGCGGCTTTTTGTGTTTAATCATTAATCTCGGGGTTTCTCATCAAACTGATGAGTTTTACGAGGTAAAAGATCAACATGTAATGACGTAAATCATCAGGGAGAAGTCAGACGAACCGCAGTGTCTCTCATCTCCAGAAGAGTTCCGTGGGTTTATCACAACAGTTTTTAGTTTGTTTACATCCGCGATGTTTTGCACGCTTCACAGATTGGTGCGACCCGCACTGAGACGTCAGCTGCTGCCCGCTACCTTAGACTCTCATCCATCCAGCAGACACACCGTGCAGGTACGGGCGAAGACCTCCGCAAGTTTCCGTTTACTGGAAGACTGCCTCGGTGAGTTTAATAATAGCAGCCTGTCCGGTTTGAACTAGTTTATACCCTCATTTCAATCTCCATCACCAGAGCTCAACTATGACGGGAAGCCGATGCATTTCAACTACGTGTGGCTGCGGGACCACTGCCGCTCCGCCTCTTCCTACGACCCTGCAACCCACCAGAGGAGCGTGGACACGGGCAGCATAGATCTCAGCATCCGGCCTGACAGCGCCGCTGCGGAGGACGACCTTATCACGCTGACGTGTGAGTTCACATGGCCTTTATGTGCCTGTTAGCAAAATATCTCACCAACCATTGCACAGATCTGAATGAAATTAACAGAAAGCGATCACTATATGTACACCTGCAACTCATTAACTTTTAGAGACAGTACGATTCCAGATGSCCACCACAGCCGACTGAAATTACAAAACACAAAACTATCTATGGCTCAGTCAGGTTTTCAGACATGTGCCTAAAATTTGGTGTGKTAGTAGCTGAGACTGATTCACAGCAAATACAGCAAGCACCGTGATGTTGTGCAACATCTTTGCTTAATACTAATTAGTGTTGGTATCATCTCTTTTTGTCTGTTAGCAAAATATTTCCTAAACCACTCAATGGATTTTAATGAAATTCTCAAAAGTAATCACTGAATGTAAATCTATAATTGATTAATGTTTGGTATACTAATAGGCCTAAAAAAGACTTTGGTGTGTATAAACACATTTATAAACATATAAGACACTACTCTGTTGACTGCCAACTTACTTCTGTTTTCTTTTCTTTTTGCTTACAATATTATTTGTTGTTTTCTCTTCCATGAGTTGGTTAATAAAACTTTAGTTCACTCTGCATCTTATGCACAGAATATGTAACAGGAGGACTGTAAACTTTTAAACTTTAGACTTTTAAAGTTAAACTGAAATTAGGCCCAGATGAGGTTAATTTATTAACATGCACTTGTTTTTTCATAATCTGTTATTTTTTTTATTTTAACATTGTCTGTGTTTTAACTGTGTTAATGTCTTACTTATAATTCCTGTCTTGTAACATTGTAACTACACTGCCTGWCTTGGCTAAGTCTTTGTTGAATAAGAGAATCTTAAAAGGGTCTTCTTGGTTAAATGAAGSTTAAATAGGAAAGAACAATTTGGAGTTACCTCAATTCAAGATGGTAGTCCTAATTTATTAGATTGTTAGCAAAAGTGGTGGTGCACAGCTAACCAAAAGTTTAGCTTTGCTAATGCATAATCTGCTAACTAGCTAATGCTGAACAGCTAAACATGTATGTAATGTAAATGAGCACCAGTTAATACTAAATAAGTAAAAATAAGCAAAAGACGACTGTCTGCATCACACATCTTCTTGACCTTCGATTTGAAGACAGGTGGGTTGACACTAACCTGTTGAGGTTAGTTTGTTAGTTGTCAGTCACTTTGTTGTCAGTATTGTCTGAAAATAATCCAAGTAATCCAAAACACTAATAGCATAATCCTGATATCTTGGTTGGTTCTAAACTGTTACCATAAAAAAAAACGGAAGTTTTTTGACTTGCGACATACAATATTTCTAAAAGAAAACTTTATGTCTAAAAGAGCAAACGGTAACTTCTTCACTGACAGRCTTTAGTATAGAGCCAAAGTTGAAACATATTCTTAATCTGATGCCTGTAAAACACTCAAGAGAGTAAATGATACTTTTAAAATCTTCTGGTAACTCGGGATGCTACTTTTTAACGTTTTACATTAGGTTTCAGTGTCAAGCTCTAACATAACAGAATGCACTGATTGTTACACTGAAAAAAAATCTGGATTTTCGAGCTGGACAAGCATCTTCCTCCCCTCATCTCCTCCTCCTCCTCCTTCCTCTAATCACCCAGATGGAGCAGACAGCTCAAATCACTTCTCAGCTCTCCAGAACCGGAGGTGCTTTGTGCTTTAATCAGTGCAGAGAAGAAACCAGCTGGAATCATCTCTTCTTCTGTCCGTTTGATTCTGATTCTGCTCACTAAATGAGAAAAAAAAACACGGAGCAACATGGGATGTTCAGTAAATACATTCTGCGTGTGAGAGGAGAAACAGGAAGCAGGTGTGGGAAAAGGAACAGATGTTCTTTATTTAAAATTAAAAGCTAAAAGTAGCAAAATTATTAACAAAGACTAGTTAACTATAGCAAAAGGCTAAATAAAAGCTAAAAGTAGCAGATTGGTAGCTAAATGCAGCAAAAGACTAGCTGAAATGAGTACATTTACATTTAAAAGTAACCAAATATAAATTTAAAGTAGCAGAACCTTAGTTTCAAACTGCTGCAGGTTGGACGGGTTCTGCTGGACTCCAAAAATCTTTAAATCAAAGCAGAGACTCTCAGTTAAACTGAGGCCTGAGCTTTGACCGAGTCGTTCTTTAACAGATCCTGTTGCAGACAGATGTTAATTATTTATTTACACAACGTCACATTTTTATAGAAGATGTGATCATTCCAAACCCCAGCATTGCTCTCAGCRTTGTCATCTGTCTGGTTCAGGTTCTACAGCTCCTCTGTAAGCACTGAATGATTCTACCTGCTGGGCTCCAGCAGGACTCCTGCAAAGAGAGGGTCCATCTTGGTGTTTTAATGAACACATGAGAGTGGCAGCGTGTCGTACAGGAAGTGACAAATGGGGATCAGCTGGCCTGAAGGCAGACAATGATGATGATGATGATGATGATGATGATGATGCACATGCTTTCGCAGGCTTACAGACCAATGTGCCTCTTCCTGTTAGTCAAGCAGGTTCAAGGTCAGCTGTGTGTTTTTTCCATAAGCTCTGCTCTTTGTGAGCTGTTGCTTTAAAGGCTCAATTCTTCAGTGTAACAGTTTGTTACATAAAAGCATGCGTACTGTACATTTTATGAGCTGCTCTTTAACCCTTTCAGCACAGAACAGGATGAACTGCAGTTAGACGTCACATTTTAGTTTTATGCAACTGTTCATATACACTGAATCCTATGCAACTCAAATATAGCATTGTAAAAAAACGACACTAAATGATAATGATTTTTGGATATCTGAAGTCTAGTTGAAACGGCTCCTCTGCAGAAAAAAAATCAACCATACGAAGAGCAGCTCAGGGTGTCTTYATGCCCTCATAGTTAATTTTGAAAGCAATATAAATTGGAAACTGGGAGTCTGAAATTATAAATATAAAAAAGATCACATGCTAGCAGGATTATCAGCAGGACATGTCTCTGAATCGGAAGCTAAAGCGCAGGCAAATTTATCAATTATTTAAAATAATGAACATGGTAAAAAATTATACTGAACATGTTTGCGTCATGTCAAGAAAAGCTCACTTTAAACGTGGTCATTTGCACACTGTGCGACTGAGAAATGTCATGTTTACAGGGCCCGGTGGTCACCAGTCACAGTTCAGCTTCAGCTGGTTAGCAGAGAACAGCTATGAAGAGAAGAAGCGGGCCACTGTCCAGCCTCGGATCCTGTGGAACGCAGACGTCTATAAGAATGCAAACGTCCCATCTGCCAAATGGGACCGGTTCATGAGCTGCGACAGCGAACTGAAGAGCTTCCTGCAGAACTACCTTCTGTACGGGATCGCGTTTGTGGACGACGTCCCGACTACAGTAGAAGCCACTGAATCGGTCACACAGAGGGTCAGTGTCATCAGGTACTGCTTCTCCTTTTGACCATGTTTTAGTGCAGCAGTTTGTTAAAAATCACATTCTTATTTGAGTTTTATTCCGTATTGTCATAAGGGAGACGACATACGGGAGAATGTGGAACTTTACATCAGATTTTTCCAGAGGAGACTCCGCCTACAGTCAGCTGGCTCTGGACCGTCACACTGACACCTCCTACTTCCAGGAGCCATGTGGGTCGGTACATACTGGACTTTTAAGCTGTCCTAAATGTGTTAGCTGTAATACAAACTAAAAATATCTAATATATTGGCATTTAATAGTTATAATTTTGGACAGCTTTCAGCTAAAAATGATGGAGAGCAGAGCTGCTTCATGGAAGGATAACCTCAGCTTTAGCCTTTTAGCTTTCACATTAGCTTTCGAGCCAAAACATATATACATACATACATACATAC